CCCCCCCCCCCCCCCCCCCCCCCCCCCCTCTCCTCTCTGAATCCGCCAATGCACAGCAGTAGCACTATGCCCGGCCATGCCAATTCCATTAATACCGATTACCAGTTAGCTACCAAAACAAAAAGCTAAACTGTCAACCTTACTTTCGAAAATATTAAAATAACTCTGTGGCAAAAGCTCTGTAAAAAACGATGACGATAAGCATTACCCTTGGTGATAAAAACGATTGGCAGCATAATCAGAATTCCATGGTGTATTTACATTCCACATTTGACTTGAATCCCAGTGAGTCGCAAACCGATCGTTGTTATTTGCCAAGTAAAAGGATTCTGTTTTCGATCTCTTGCTTCCCATTGAAGCCTGAAAGCTCTCTCTGTGTGTGTTTACAGCTAAGGGATGAAAAGCAAGACTGTTCTCCAATACATGTGGCTATAGATCCATTATCTCTGGTCAAAATCAACAATTATTTTCCTTTTCTTCGATCAAGAAATGACAAAAAGCTGTGAATTATTCAAGGCGATTCCTTCCTTGCAGCATTCATTTTCCACGAAATCAAAGCGTTTGAAGTGGTCTTAATAATATTACTCTGCCAAAAAAAACAACTATTACCTAACAAGGTTGTCAAAAAATTACGCTTTCAGCCGCTGATCTAGCATAACATGGAGGATCCCTGATACGTCTGGCACAAGGAAATTTGAAACTACTTTTGAGGTACAGAAACGATGATTTACCACCAAAGAGTCGGGCAACTGCATGTGTATCTGTGTGTAACAAACAGACAATTTAGTAAAAATGTGTCTCTCTAGCCTGCTTTCTCTTTCTCTCTCTCTCTCTGCGCGAAGTTTGGTACTTGGAAACAGTCCGAATATGAGTAAATTTCAATAGCAACTAAACACTAAGAAAGATGACGATGGCCCTCTCTTTTGAGGACTGTTTAGAAGCAAACTGATGGCGGGAATGATTCCTTGGCATATGCCGGTTTCAGTACACCATCGAAACGAATGAATGAATCCTCGATTTTGCAGTGGCTGTCGAACTAGCGAGAGTGGTTCTTCTAATGTTTCGCATTAACAGAGTGTTACTTGCCCATTACCCACTGTACAAAGATAACCGAAATAAATCGAGTAAAATACAGGTGCTGACTGATAGATACCCAGATAATGCTCCAAGTGCACGGACTGGGGACAGGATAGAGAAGGAAGGGAAAGAAGGTGCTGGTTAGGATTTCAGGACGATAAATGCTGACAGTGATATGGTAGTGACTGGATAAATCCCACTTACCATATTTGTCATTGATTGCTGCTGATAACGTTCATACTGTTCCTGTGCGCTTATATATGGGTAACAGAGCGTCGATTGGCCACCGTACGGTGTTCTGTATTGTGCCGACGGAGCGCAAAGATAATGTGGTGTTGTGGGAACCATTAACGATGGATAATCGGATCCCTGCATTATTCATATGTCCGAAGAAAGAAATAATCAGCAGCTTCTCGGCGTGTGTGTGTGTATATTTATACCCTCAGCCTAACACTTGGACTCATACTGACCGCGCTTTGGCCTCTTCCGGCACGCAGGGAAGTGGGCGTTAGGAGGGATGAAGGTGTTGCATTATAGAGCCGCATGAACCTCTAGGTACATGATTATCAGTTTTTTGCATGAGGCCCTCATATATATGTATAGCAAATCCTTTGTTATATGTGTATATATACCTTATTACATATGTACATGCATATAGGCAAATCAGGCTACAGCGCATTCAAAATGAAGTGCTCCGAGCCAGATCTGGTGTGAAAGACATTACTGAAGCAATGTACGCCAGAAAGAAGAGATGGGCTGGTTATGTGGCCCGCATGACAGATAAATGATGGACGAAGTGGATAATGGAATGATACCCGCGCACGGTCAACTGAATACTGGGGAGGCCACCAAGTGAGGTGTGAAGGACCCCATGGTATGCCCTTACGCTACTACTTGAATATTTATGTAATAAAATAGTGAAACTTTCACAATAACTACAAAATAATAACTGGTAAAAAATACCATTGTATTCTGCGACTGAAAATGGCCATAATTATTATAATTGGATTGGTGACCATAGCCAGCTTCTTGTCCCCTACTGCCGAGTGCCAAATTTGAATACATACCAGTTAGATGTACTTCATCTGCAACTATTATTACAAGAAAATGGAAACAAACTTCAAAAAAAAAATTTTTTTTGTGGTTATAAAAAAATGACCGAATTCGACAGGAGATGATTTTTATGAAAATTTATTAACAGAATGAGATGCTAAGAATTACAAGTCAAAATACGTGAAACTATAAGATAAACCGCTGCAAAAAAATCGTCCGGACAATCGGTATGGAGATCTTTAGTTACTGGTTCCCTACGAGGTATTTCGATCTTATTTTTGCACACCTCCATTTAGTACCAATGCACTTTTAATGTATTTGTGCCATTTCTTAAAATAAGCACCTTTGTCTGTGTTTATAGCTAAGGGATAAAACATAGTTTCCATCGTAAATTTTTTCTTACACATAACGCTTAAGTCCAATCCCTCTGTTCTACTATTTCATTTGTATTCTTATGTTAGCTTTAGAAAACTAAATAATCCGCCAGCTAATTTACTGGAGACACTTTCCATTAAAAAACCGGTGCTTACCACTCCGTTGCAACGGTTGCATTTCGGACGGTCGAGAGCTTCCAGAAGGCCTGAAAGATGTTAATTTGCGTAAAATAGGGATTTCGTAAAGTGCGCATTGGATAATTAAATATATAAATTGGAGAAGCACATAAATACATAACATACCGAGAATACCACGACCGCCCGGACAACCGATTTTGGAATTCCATGTCAGT